GAGAATGTACAAAAAGACCACTCTATCCTCTCAAATTATATTTCATTTCAAAAATTTTCTCAAACCCATAAAACCTTTCTTACAAACTTAAATACCATTCAAATTCCCACTAAGGTTTTTGAGGCATTATCCGATTAAAATTGAAAACAGATACAGAAATGGAGGCATTAGAGAAGAATAAAATATGGCAGTTGGTTGCTTTGCTGGAAGGCAAGAAACCAGTTGGCTGCAAGTGGGTATATACAGTAAAATACATGGCTGATGGGACAATTGAGAGATACAAAGTGTTGAAATACAAGAGACTAAGAGACATTTGAATAAACCGTGTGTTTTGAAAAGCACTACGGAGACATTATTATATATATATAGATTACAACTAATTACATGATATAGTCGATGTGGGACTATTCTATATACAAATATTCTTAACACTATATATATTTACAAATATCAACACTCCCCCTCAAGCTTGAGCATATAAGTCAAATGCACCAAGCTTGTTACATATATAATTAATTCTAGGACTTCGTAGGGATTTTGTAAACACATCTGCCAATTGATCATTAGAGTTGACAAAGCTTGTGACAATGTCGCCTGACTCGATCTTCTCTCTGACAAAGTGACAGTCTATCTCAATATGTTTGGTCCTCTCGTGGAAGACTGGATTTGAAGCAATGTGCAATGCAGCTTGATTATCACAAATAAGTGTCATTGGTCTTGCTTCTTCAATTTGAAGTTCTTTGAGCAACTGTTTTAACCAAATAAGTTCACATGTTGCCATTGCCATGGCCCTATACTCTGCCTCGGCGCTTGATCTTGCAACTACATTTTGTTTCTTACTTTTCCAAGATATAAGGTTTCCTACAACAAGTACACAATACCCAAAGGTAGAGCGTCTATCAATGGGTGACCCTGCCCAATCAGCATCGGAGTATCCAATTATCTGATTATGTCCTTTATCCTCATACACAAGACCTTTTTCTGAAGCACATTTGATGTATCTCAGAATCCGGATAACAGCATCCATGTGTTCCTAACAAGGGGAATTTAAGAATTGACTTACCACACTGACCGCAAAAGAAATGTCCGGACGAGTGACTGTGAGATAATTCAACTTTCCAACCAATCTCCTATACCTTCCTGAGTCAGATAGAGGCTCCCCCTGATTGGGTAGTAGTTTAACACTTGGATCCATAGGAGTATCGGCTGGTTTAGCATTTAACAAACCTGTTTCTTCCAAAATATCCATAGCATGTTTCCGCTGAGAAATCACTAAACCATCTTTAGATTGAGCTACTTCAATACCTAAGAAATAACGGAGCTTACCAAGATCTTTTGTCTGAAATTGTTTCGAGAGATGTTGTTTCAACTGGAGTATTCCCTGCTGATCACTACTAGTTATGACAATGTCATCTACATACACAATAAGATAAATACACCCTTGGGGTGAGTGACGATAAAAAACAGAATGGTCAGCTTCACTACGTATCATACCAAATTGTTGTACTACAGTGCTGAATCTGCCAAACCAAGCTCTCGGGGATTGCCTAAGACCATAAAGAGACCTGTGTAGCCTACACACCATATTTGATGACTCCCCCTGAGCAACAAACCCAGGTGGTTGCTCCATATATACTTCTTCTTCAAGATCACCATGTAAGAATGCATTTTTAATGTCAAGTTGATGAAGAGACCAATGTCGAATGGCTGCAATGGCTAGAAGAAGTCTAATAGATGTCATTTTGGCTACAGGCGAAAAGGTATCACTACAATCCAACCCAAAAATTTGAGTGTATCCTTTGGCAACCAAGCGAGCTTTAAATCGATCAATCTTACCATCTGGACCAACTTTCACTGTATAAAGCCAACGACAACCTACTAAAGATTTTCCACGGGGTAGAGGAACCAATTCCCAGGTACCACTGCTTTGAAGAGCACACATTTCATCAATCATTGCTTGCCTCCACTCAGGATGAGATAATGCTTCACTTGGAGTTTTAGGAATAGAAACAGAAGACAAAGAAGACAAACAAGTATACTGCAAAGGGGAAAGGCGATGATAACATAAATCAATATAATGTGGAGAAGGATTTCGTGTTTGACGTATACCTTTTCGAAGGGCAATCGGAAGATCAGACTCAGGTTGCAGGATCGGATCCGGTGATGGCGAGAGTGTCGGAGGAGAATCCGTAGTGACCTCAGTAGTGACCTCAGGGACAGATACGACTTCAAGGACAGATACGACTTCAGGGACAGGGACAGGTATGACAGACGTTGGGTGACGACGCTGATATGTTTGAAGTGGGCGAGGAGTGGGGGGGTCAACCGTAGGAGTATCTAATGGGTCAGGTTCCCTAGAATGATGGGGGATAATGACAGATGGGACTTCCGGAAGAGGTGTGGGAATACTTTCCTGTAGAGGTTCCGTAGTTACTTGGCTGGACTCGAAATATGGAACAGACTCGAAGAAGGTAACATCGGCCGATACGAGGTATCGTTGTAGAGTATGTGAGTAGCAACGATAACCCTTTTGCGATCGATGATAGCCAAGAAAGACACACTTTAGTGATCGAGCTGATAGTTTATCAAGACCAGGGGAGAGATTGTGTACAAAGCACGTAGACCCGAAGACTCGAGGAGGAATTGGGTGGAGTGGAGAGTTTGGAAACAAGATTGAATGAGGGATTTTATTATTAAGGACCGATAAGGGCATGCGATTTATGAGGTAGCATGCCGTGAGCACCGCATCTCCCCAAAACCGGAGAGGAACATTACCATGGAGAAGTAGGGTCTGAGTGGTTTCTACGAGGTGCCGATTTTTGCGTTCGGCAAGAGACATTTGAATAAACCGTGTGTTTTGAAAAGCACTACGGAGACATTATTATATATAGATAGATTACAACTAATTACATGATATAGTCGATGTGGGACTATTCTATATACAAATATTCTTAACACTATATATATTTACAAATATCAACACAAAGCAAGGTTGGTTGCTAAAGGTTTCACACAAACCTATGGCATTGATTATTCAAAAACTTTTGCCCCAATGGCAAAGATGAATACAGTTCGAGTTATATTATCCCTTGCTGCCAATTACGGGTGGGAATTACAACAATTCAATGTGAAAAACGCATTCTTACATGGAGAGCTTGAGGAAGAAATTTATATGGAAACTCCACCTAGATATAAGAAAAATGTTGCTGCCAATTCTGTTTGTAAGTTGCAAAAGACATTATATGGATTGAAACAGTCACCTCGAGCATGGTTTGGAAGGTTTACCAAGGCTATGACAACATTAGGTTACAAAGAAAGTAATGGAGATCATACATTGTTTATTAACCACTTCAGGGGGAGTAACAGTGTTGTTGGTATATGTTGATGACATTATTGTGACTGAAAACGATTGGAAGGAACAACAAGTCTTGACTCAACATTTAGCAAAAGAGTTTGAAATTAAAACCCTTGGAAGGCTGAAGTATTTTTTAGGAATAGAGGTGGCTCACTCAAAAAAGGGTATTTTCATATCTCAACAAAAATATATCATAGATCTGCTCAAGGAAACAGGTAAGCTAGCTTTTAAACCTGTGGACAACCCTATGGATCCAAGCCATAAGTTGGGTAATGTGAAAGAAGTTGCGGTAGTTGATAAGGAAATGTATCAAAGATTGGTTGGGAGATTAATTTACCTTTCCCATACTAGGCCAGATATTGCATTTGCTGTAAGTGTGGTTAGTCAATTTATGCACAATCCAAAGGAAGTTCATTTACTTGCAGCTCATAGAATTTTACATTATTTCAAGGGAACTCCAGGAAAAAGGATTTTGTTTAAAAGGAATGGAAGTGCTACTCTTAACGCATATACCGATGTTGATTATGCGAGTTCGGCTGTTGATCAGAGGTCAACTACAAGGTATTGTACATTTCTCGGAGGAAATCTTGTAACTTGGAGAAGTAAAAAACATAATGTTGTGGCCCGATCCAGTGTTGAAGCTGAGTTTCGAGCTATGGCATAAGGTATTTGTGAATTACTTTGGTTGAAGATTATTTTAGAGGATTTGAAGATTAAATGGGATGGACCTATGAAGCTCTTTTGTGATAATAAGTCAGCAATTAGTATAGCTCACAATCCAGTTCAACATGACCGAACAAAACACATTGAAGTAGATAGACATTTTATCAAAGAGAAGTTTGATTGCGGTTTGATTTGCACTCCTTATATTCCTACACAAGGTCAACTTACAGATGTCTTCACCAAAGAATTGAGCTGCCTAAATTTTGAAAAAATTGTGTCCAAGCTGGGAATGGAGAATACATATTCACCAGTTTGAGGGGGAGTGTTGGAAATTAAAATAATTTAATTCTGATTTTTTTCAAGTAGTTAATTCATTGCATACCAAGTTCTATGTATCTTGGTAAATTGTATTAGTTTAATTTCTTTCTTGTAAATTGTACATAATTATTATTACTCATGTAAGTTGTAACAAAATGATTATAAATTAAATCTTATGCTGAGAGCAATGCATCTCAAGCACATTCACAATTATTTTCTATCTGTTTTTTCACAATTTCAATGTAATGTAGCACTGTTTTGGCATTTGGATATCTAAGTGGAGGCGTGTTTCACACCTTATATGTTGTTAATTAGTTTTTGTGCATCTTGGTCACTGTGCAACTGCTTTGCACGTTTCTTGGTGCTCTGTTTATTTATGTCTTATCTAAGTCACTTTTACTTTCTGCCTTATCTTAATTTGATCTCTAGGCTCGCTAGTCATTTGTGTTATCATATTAGAAATGATGACAAGAGAAATAAGTGGTGAATAGTTGCAGGGAGCACAATGTAAGACAGGTATGTGCACTGTCGACACTCAACACTTCAATTCCAATCCAAAATACTCATGAGTGAAAGAAATGTTCAATATAAAACCATTTTTAATTAAGCTTACACCTTAAACTAAAGTGTATAATCAGATCATATCATAACAAGTTCACCATTTTTAAGGAAAACACAAAAACTGAGCAATAGTGATTACTTGTTGAAGAATGTGAAACAAATCCTGCACCGCGCAAGGAATGACTCCAGGCTCGGCTTTAGATCCACGCATCGTATGAGTCTTCCCACTATTGGTTTGTCCATAAGCAAAAACAGTACCTTCATTTCATCATTTCAAGTTCAAAAACCCTAAATTAACGATTCAAAAACCCTAAGTTCAAAAACCTTAAGCTAACCCCTTACCATTGAATCCACTGACTGCAGCAGCAACTATGTCCTTGGTCCGAGTTTCGTAGACTTGAGATGTTTTACTACTTTCATCGAATACTTGGTCTACAAAGCATACTTAGAAATTAAAAGAAAAATTGTGAAAAATAAAAGGAAAAGGAAGAAGAAAATAGTGAGTACCGAATTCGAACACGGAGGAGTGGTTGGGAATGAAAATGGAGTTGCCGGAGATTCTCCACAGACTAGTTTTCGCGTCCTCCGGCGAGAGAGGTCTTGCACGAACAGTTACATGAATTCTATCCATGAGTGGAAAGATGAAAGAAAATGTAAGAGAATGAGAAAAGTGATTTTTGTTTGTTGGTGGAAAGATTTAAGAAAGTATTCAGCTTCTCTCTGCTGTGCTAAGAAATATTCCCGCGCTGTGCAGCGAATTAGGGCCACAATCGAAAACTTCAAATTTTTGTGCTACAGTATTTCAAATTCTCCGATTTCACAGTGTCGCTAGTGTTTTGTGTATACTTTGAATATTCTATTAAAAAATTGGTTAACTTAATTGCTTAAATAAAATAGAATAAAAAAATATTAATTTTCTTAATTTAAATTTGTTTTGTAGCAAGAAAATAATTATAAAATTACACACACACACATATATATATATATATATATATATATATATATATATATATATATATATATATATATATATATATATATATATATATATATATATATATATATATATATATATATATCGTGTGTGTAAATTAAAAAATTACATTTTGTGTAAGTAAAATAGAGATAATTAAATTAATTTAGTGTAATTATCTGATGTATTAAGGACTTTTTAATTTTTCATTATAACTTTGAGGTGAAGTTTATAAAACGCTAAACGAATTCAGTTGTTCATACATGATATGTTAGTTAAAACATTCAATTTTTGAATTAGACGTAGTGTTTTTTGTTTGATTTTTTCATTGAATATTTTTTTATTAATGATATGAATTGAAATTGCTTGCGTCAAAAAAATCAAATAGAGATATTTGGTTACTGATATAAAGATTAAAGATTTAAGAGAGTAATTGTAAAATATGAATTAATGGAATAAATTTGTGACTTTAGGTTTAAATATGCAATTGATTATTGTAAATATAACATTTTTAAATTTTAGTTTTCATAATTTCTTGTTTAATTTTGATCTTTATACTTTCTTTTTTATGTAATAAATTGAACTTATGATACCCTTCAAATTTAAAATATTTTATTTAAGTGCACTTTTATTTTCTCTCTCAAGATATTTAAAATTCAAAAGGTTTTTTTTCTCTCTCAAGATATTCAAAAGGTTTATCTAGTTTAACATGGTGAAGGAATTGTTGATGATGTATGTATTTATAAAATTTTCGTTCAAAAACACATATTTTAAGTGAGATTGGAGTTCCTTTAATTTTAAAATGACTTGTGTAATGGAATAATTGAGGAAGAGTTTAGGGTGAGGGTGAGGGGCATACGTGTTGTCCTTCTCGAGTCGTCCTTGTATTACTTTGAGCATCCTTCGTCTGGTTCGACCACCCTTTGTTTGGGTTTGTAGCCTAAACTCTCATTCCTTCGTCCAAGATATGCGACTACGGGGGCTTGTATTGGGTCAACATTTGGTGCCTAAAAAGTCGTGGGATTTAACTATCTCTCATGAATTTCAAGATATCAATCACTCATTTTTGCACAGGTTGTTATATTTTACGGAGACTTGGTTCATTTGATTCAAGGTCTCGGTGAGGCTATAAATATATTAGCACTTTAACACTGAGAGGGGCCTTGAACAAAGAGAGAAACCACTTATACAGAGCTTCTAGCCTTATTGTGTAGGTTAATTATAATCTTAGACAAACCTTAAAAGTCTCTAACAATCTTTATCAATTAAGGAGTTGTCACGCTTATTTTACTTTTATCTAATACAATTGGCGGTCATCGTAGGGCCCCAATAAAACTGATATGGGTCACACTTACTGCATTCAACCAGAGCAATGCCACGTTTTATTTTAATTATTTTTTCGTAATAAAATTATGTGATGTTGTGTGCATGTATGTGGTTATGTGTGTTTTATTATGTTGGGGTACCCTGTGGTAGAGGATAGTGACCTTAGAATTAATGACTTTAAGGGTGAGGGGTATGTGGCTAATTATGTAGAACTTGGTGGTGTGGTGAGAAGCCATTAAAATAATATTAGTTGAATATTACTAACTTAAATAATTAGGAAATATTATTATTATTATTTAATTTATGTAATAATAATAATAATATAAGAATAGAAAAAAGTTTGGAAGATTTTGGTCAACACGTGTTTTTGGGAGAAACTAAAGAAAAAACGTGAAGTGAGAAGTTAGGGCAAGGGAAAGAGGAATCCATTGTTAAGGAAGAAGAAATTGTTGCAATAACTCTAAGGTAAGGGTGAGGTTCTAACTATTTAAGAGTTAGTATGATGATATTTATGGGTAGACTCTTTCATGTAAGTTTTGTGTTGTTTTTCCCTTTATTCATGTTTCAGAGTTAGTTGAATTGAATTGATTAATTATGAGGAGTATTATATGTTATTGTTAGAATCCTAGTAGATGATGAAATTGATGAAATTGTTGTTGTTGTTGATTCGTTTAATTGATGTTTGATTGTTGTTGTGGTTGTGTCGTTGTGCGAAATCGCGAATCAGAGTCAGAACGATTGTATTGGGTGTTTTCGGGGAAAGACATCAGGGTTTTTGTGTTGATAAAAACTGGTTTTTTTAGTAAAATAATGGATTACACATTTTGTATGAAAAGTGGGATTTTGAGATGGGTTAAAAAGTACTTTTCGTACTGTTAAGCAGCAGAAAAGTGATTTTGCTGCAGGTATAACCGGTTACCAGAAATAGAGTGACCAGTTACACTAATGAAAAACAACATTTTTGGGCAAACTATGAGGGTGTTATCGGTTACCCTAATTTAGGTAACCCATTACCCTATGTTATTTTTGCATTGTTGATTAGTTTCCAAGGGTGTAACCGGTTACCTCATTTGGGGTAACCGGTTACATTGGGACTGATTTTTGAAAATTCTTTAAAAATTCATAACTTTCGTTATGGGAGTCCGATTTGAGTGTCGTTCGAAGCGTCGGAAAGCTGGCGTGATGAAATTTAATCTAAAAATAGTTTCAGTAGTAGTAGTTGAATGATTTTGCTATTGTTGATGTTAAACTCATTATTATCATTTGTTGTGGTGTATGATGATTTTAAATGCCTTGTGGATGCTTGCCATGTTGTATGTCGTTGTTGTTGGACTCATTGTTTAGATGGTTGTTGTTGTTGTTGTTGTCATGTATTTCATGGTTGTGTGAGTTGTGAGATAAGTCGTGTGCCCATGTGGGGTGTGAACATCTTATTGGGATTCTAATTGTGGAATCGTGACGTTATTGTTGTTGTTGAGGTGATTGTGTGCCCATGTGGGGTGTGAGCAATCACGGTGATTCGTGTGCCCATGTGGGGTATGAGTGATCACGAAATTTGTGTGCCCATGTGGGGTGTGAGCGACATTATGGAAATTCTGACGGGAATTGTGATCCTGAGATAGGGATCAAATTCTGAAATAGGAATCGATGGTACCACATGTATTGAGTCTAGTTGTGAGTCTCATCGCATCGCATATTGGTTGCATCTGTTGTTGCGTTGAATGTTGTAGTTGTATGTTGGATGTTGTTGTTGTATGTTGGATGTTGTTGTCATGTGGGTTATAACTGTTATTGTAAGGTTATATGTTGTGGAATGGGTGTTATGCATGAGAAATCTAATGCTTGTTTTATTATCATGTTTTCCTTTATCAATTTATGATATCTCACCCCTTCTATTTTAATGTTGCCTTTACATGAGCATCGTGCAGATAACTCGCAGTAGAGGAATTGAAGTAAGTAGAAGGTGAAGTCTTTTATTTTCCCTTTTAGTGTCAGTGTCTGGTCTGATGTGTAACACCGAGGTCAGGGAACGTTGTGTTATGTTGAGTTTGATGGAATTTTTGGATATCTCTAGAATAATTTTTGTTTGTGTTATTTTGAAGAATAATTATGCTTTGAATAATTATTTATGTTGATGCTTTCGTTATTTCAATAAAGTTTTGAAATTAAGACATGTTGAGTTGTTTTGGTGATTTTAAATAATCTGCAAATAAAATTGCATGTGTTACATATCTTGTTATATGAGCATCTGATTGTATTGAATTGTGTGACATCCTAAATATGAAATGTTCTAATTTACTCTGATTTTTAATTAAATGCGTGAGGTTTATTTGGGGTGTTACATTAGTGGTATCAGAGCAGGTCGCTTTGTCCGGCCAAGTTGTTGAGTCGTAGTATTGTGACAGTTGAATAATGTCTTTGTTGTCTTTGTTAAGTCGTGGGAGTTCCTAAGGAAGTACTTTCCTGATGATGTTCGTGGGAGAAGGAGAACGGGTTTCTGGAGCTGAAGTAGAATGTGAATTGTGGGAAGCCTTATAGTGCTCCAGCTGATAAGGGTAAACAGAGAGTTGATGATGGTAAGAGGCCAAGTGGGGGAGAAGTGTATGCTGCATGCGATAGTGTAGTGTTGGCTACTTCAACTATTTTGAGAGTGTTGTGATGTTTCTAAACCCGAATGAAGTTCGGATTCAAGGATAGTGTTGGTTGGCAAAATAGCGCGATCCTGGAGGGAAGACGGGTCAGGTGTTATCGTTGTTCGCTTCCTAGTGAAGGGGAAGGCGATGTTTTGACTGGGGATGGGCCAGTGATGTATTGAGTATCTTGATGTGTTCCCTAAGGATAAACACAACTTGCATTTGATTGTAACAAGTTGATGTTATTCTTGGAATGAACTGGTTGGAGTTCAATCATTTTCATATCAATTGTTATAACAAGTTGGTGCAGTTTCTTGCTCTTAATGATGAGGAAGAACTGGTAAAGACGGTAGTATGAGATTTGTAAGACAAAGTGTTGTTAGAAAAGAAATTTGTAAGACCAAGTGTATTGCCTTGGGGAGCTTCAGTATTATTGGTAAAGAAGAAATACGGTAGTATGAGATTGTGTGTGGATTACAGGCAATTGAATAAAGTAACGATTAAGAACAAGTATCCACTCCCGAGAATAGATGACTTAATGGATTAATTAGTGGGTGCATGTGTGTTTATCAAAATTGACTTGAGGTCGGGTTATCATCAAATTTGAGTGAAGGATGAAGATATTTAGAAGACGACTTTTAGTACTCGGTATGGACATTATGAGTATTTGGTAATGTCGTTCGGCGTTTCTAATGCACC